CGGGCATGCTCGCCACGCAGGCGGGGGGAGATTGCCCGAGATCTGCGCGAGATTGCCCGAGATTGTCGAGCTGGCGGGCATGCTCGCCACGCAGGCGCGGGGAGATTGCCCGAGATCTGCGCGAGATTGCCCGAGATTGTCGAGCTGGCGGGCATGCTCGCCACGCAGGCGCGGGGAGATTGCCCGAGATCTGCGCGAGATTGCCCGAGATTGTCGAGCTGGCGGGCATGCTCGCCACGCAGGCGCGGGGAGATTGCCCGAGATCTGCGCGAGATTGCCCGAGATTGTCGAGCTGGCGGGCATGCTCGCCACGCAGGCGCGGGGAGATTGCCCGAGATCTGCGCGAGATTGCCCGAGATTGTCGAGCTGGCGGGCATGCTCGCCACGCAGGCCCCGGGCACGATGGGCCCTTGTCTGCCCGAGTGCATCCCTCTTGTCATCGAATGCCTCAACGACTCGAACGCAAAGGTGCAGACGCCGTTCACACCTCCTCTGGAGGCGCTGTTCACGCCTCCTCTGAGGCGCTGTTCACACCTCGAACGCAAAGGTCCAGACGGCCGCAGAGGAGGCGCTGCCCGTGCTCTGCTCGTGCGTGCAGAACGCCGAGGTCGCGTCGACGCTGCGCGACTTCATCATCGACGCGCTCAAGAAGCCGGACAAGACATTCGAGTGCGTGGAGGAGGTGCTGATGACCACCTTCTGCAACCCGATGGACGGTGCGTCCCTCGCCCCCCCCTCTGCGAAGCCTCTGCGATGCCTCTGCGAGCCTTCCGGGAGCCTTCCAGGAGCCTTCCAGGAGCCTTCCGGGAGCCTTCCGGGAGCCTTCCAGGAGCCTTCGAGGGCCCTCCTAGGCACGTCTCTCGCCTTTATGATGCCGATCATCATCCGCGGGATCAAGGACGCAAACTACGAGCTCGTCAAAAAGTCGACCGTCTGCGCGTCCAACTTGTGCGCCCTCATCAAGGATTCGTCCGACATCGCGCCGTTTGTGCCGCTGCTGCTGCCGCTCCTCGAGAAGAACGTCGAGCACTCGTCGCCGAACATCCGCGAGGCGACGCAGACGGCGCGCGAGCGGCTGCTCGAAGGTGATCTCGGGCAATCTCGGGCAATCTCGGGTGCTCTCGGGTGATCTCGGGTGCTCTCGGGTGCTCTCGGGTACTCTCGGGTAATCTCGGGTGATCTCGGGTGATCGATCTCGGGTGATCTCGGGTGATCGATCTCGGGTGATCTCGGGTGATCTCGGGTGATCTCGCGGGCGGCTGCTCGAAGGCGCCGGCGACCTTGTCGACCCCGCCAAGCGCGGCACCGCGGTCGGCGTGTGCGTGCGCGACTCGCTTGCCGCCGCGGTGCCGTCGCTGCCCGAGCCCGTCGCGACGTACCTCTCGCACACGTGCGCCGCCCTGCTCGAGGAGCGGCTGGGCGGCGTCGTGCGCGTGCAGAACTTCCGCCACGCGGTGCCGAGAGCACCCACAAGACTTGCATACAGTCGTGACGAGACGATCAGTAACGAATAGGGCCGTGGTGACAACGGTGGCCCTCAGAACAATCGCAACAACTCACCACAACTCACGACTGATAAGAGAGAATGATGAGAGTGCTTCGACGGACAACCGTGCCAGCTTGAGAGCCATGGTGACAACAATGCCAGGTGCCCGCCACGGAGCAGTGGGTCTCCTCCATCGTCGAGCCGTACGCGGCCGCGGAGGGCGGCGCGCTGGCGCAGGTCGCCACGGCGGCGGTGGAGAACTTCAAGTCGCAGCTGCCCGAGGAGGCGCGCGCCATCCTCGCAAAGTCCGGCGACAAGGACTTTGCACTCGACATGCAAAA